AAACACATGTCAACAGACACAAACACATGTCAAGAGACAAAACACATGTCAACAGACACAAACACATGTCAAGAGATAAAACACATGTCAACAGACACAAACACACAATAGATAGAAACACATGTAAACAGACAGAAACTCATGCAAATATACAAAAACACAAGTTAACAGACACAAACACGTAGAGGGATAAAAACACATGTAAAGAGATAAAGCATCTTCATCAATTTGACAACATGTGCTGTATCAAATTGTTGTGTAATATATCAATGAATGATGTAAACTTTATTTGCATGACTTTTGGTGTAAGAGGTTTTAAACAGAACAATTTATCAAAGCCAATCTTGAGCTGTGCGTGTCACTGGTGAAAAGAGTGGGGTTGATTACAATCTAGGACGTGAGATAAGATCATGTGTTAACTGCAAAGACAGTTGGTTTATTTTATATATAAACCCCATCAGTAGCTCATGTTAAGTCTAGCTTCCTAATGTACAAACACATAATATACTGGAAACAATAGTATTGGTTATAACCAATTAGTCTAAATGTCATGCCTGATTACATTCTGAACTATAAACACTTATATAAACACCTCAAATGTGATAATTCAGGAGCAATAGATGTTAAAATTCCACAAATGCATATCTTTACTATCACCAGGGACATAAAGTTAAGTGTGTATAGTTAATGACTGTGATCCATCCGGATTAAATCAGCTGCAGGTGTAAATAAACAGAGTAATACAGCTTTTAGAGGCTGACCAATCAGTTTGGGGCAGATAATCACCTTTTGGCACAGCACTTGTGTGGTTTCATGCTTGGTACCCTCCGCTGTTCAAACCAGTATTTTTGTTTCTTGGTTTTGTTTCAGCCTCTCGAAGAAGAGAGTTCAGGAGGAGGCTGGTATTCTGGATCCTCAAAACGAAGTGTAAGTTTTTTCCCCCTTCACTCTTTGTTGAATGTGTGTTTGCTCCTGTCATTAATTGTGCGTGTGTTTCTTTTCCAGTATCAACTGTAAAGACTCATGGGAAACGGCCAGTGAAGAAAGTGCATCTGACGAGGACTGTGTTGCATCCATTAGTCTGAGGTTTGTCAGAATCAAGTTTATTGACACCAACGTTCTCTTAACATGGACACTGATGTGAATCACATCACACGGCTCCAGGCTGACTTTTCATTTAGGTTCCCCCTGAACAATTTTCTCTGCGTCTTCTCCCACTGCAACAATACACCTATTATACCATTGGCAGTTCCCATATGCATTGGTAATTTCTTAACTAAGTTGGCTGAGCTCAATTTGATTCAGTTCAGGATATTTTATTGTACGATACCAATTTTTCTTGGATCTGAAATAAATTCACAGAGAGCTGAACACAACATCGTAGTTGCACCTGGACAGAAACGCTAAAATATGAAATAAACGGAACAGCGGTTTTATTGTCGCGCCACCGTCCAGAACTGATTTGAATCCTCACATGATCTTTATAGCTCCTGATTCCTTCTGTCACATCTGTCCAGTGAAAAACAGGCTCATTGAACTTTTAGTTCACAATATCATCATCAGAACTAAATACAAATGTAGTTTTTCGGCTGCAGCCTTTGTGTCCTGTTATGACTCTAGAGAGAGGCAGACACAGTTGCACGTGTTTTATCTCCTCATGTCTTGATTACTGCAAGATGTTTTATTACTTACTTCAAAAAGACTTCCGACTGTTTAAAACTCAGCTGCTCGACTCTCAAACTCATCACAGCCTCTTTACACTGGCTCTCAGTCTGTTTTAGAAAAGAGATCATTGATCACCTTCATGCACCTGCATGACCTGGTTTCTGATGATATTTCAGACCTGCTGATCCCACATGAACCTTTGTCGCTTGAGATCCTCAAGCAGAAGTTTTCTCACTGTTCAAGAGACCAGGCTAACAACTATTGGGGACAGGGCCTTTGCAGTGAGGGGCCCTGAAGCTCGGAACGACCTGCCCGATGAAATTAGGCTGAGTCATGTTTGAAATCCCCTCACCCTGAAAGCTTTTTCAAAATTTCATTTCAGCTGATTAATTAATATATTTGTAACTGTTGCCAAAGTGCAGTTTCTCCTGCTAATATCTCTAAACCAGCCAAAGTTCACTCTGAGCTCAGGCCCTCGTGACGCTCAGGGTTTTGTTCTTTGAGGAAATGTCTATAATGCAAAGAAAAAAAGACAAAACAAGGTCTGACTTTCACAGTGAGTTTTTTTTTGTTAAAATAAACGAATAATGATGATAAAAAAAACAAACACCAGCAGGTTTATCAGTTTAAACCGTTAAGAGGCAGCAACAGATCGTAACAATTCTGCTCCAAAAAACAAACATTTATCATCATGTGACCTGGGAACAGAGTGTGTGTGTCCAAACAGGCTGCGGTAAACTGTTACTGTGGCTAAACAAACAACACATAGATGCATGGACAAACAGAACAGCTTTAAACAACGGCCAACCTAAAAAAAAAACAACAATACAGCTCCCTGAAGGCTGAACAGGAACTTGATCGTTTCTACACGGAGACGCTCGACACTGATGAGGTTTGCAAAGAGTCTGGAGGGAAAAAAAAGGTATCAATCACATGTCTGTCCTGGAAAAAGCTGCGACTCTTCCAGTCATCGTCACTGTACGTTTACATGCAACCGAGTCACTCGGAGAAAGCAGGTCACAGAAAAACTCATTCATGAAGGGGAGAAGTTCAGTTGGTGTAAAACAACAAAAACAAACAATGGCTACATTGGTAGAGGCTTGTTGCTCCTGGTACCAGTGAGACAATTATGTAGTACCTCCACCAAAGAGAGGTTTTCGTCTGTTTGTTTGTTAGCAGGATTACCCAAAAAGTACTCAACCAAAAAACCAACAGCAACCAAGTTACTTAAGCTCATGTAAACAAACAGAATTCTCCTGAGGAAAGGAAACAGGCTTCTGTTTTTGAAGAAATAAACGTCTGATAAATGCAACGCAACATTTAAAACTCGTCTGTCCTGATCATCGGTTCTGCGGCTGCGAAATTATTCCCTCTGGTGCAGCACGAGCCAGTCTCACCTGTTTTTTTGTTGTTGTTTTTTTTTACAAGTATGACTCCTTGCACCTCCATGTTTTGCTCTGGAGTCCTGAAGTTGCAGATAGTTAAAAATGCGACAGTCGTACTTGACCGTACTCAAGAGGAATCATGTTTGCGATATGTTTGAAGAGTCTGAGGATTAATCTTAACGGCCGTGGTGAATTCTGTGTTTTAGCTTCTATTTGTGCTTCATCGTACACTCACAGCTGACGATTGTTTGACGTGGTAAAGGAAGGTCACAGGACTTTTTCCTCTGTAAAAATACACGACAGAATCGCAGGATCTCTCCAGGCTGCGTGGACAGTTACTGATGGATATTTGTGATGTGGAGAAACTGAAAGTAAACTGTTGTTACATTTCAGAAATTCTGCGAAGATGTGACCGATTTTTCCTGTTTTTTCCCCAGACTCTGCAGTCGCCCTGCAGATGATTCAGATGGAAGAGGTGAAAGAACAGAAGAAGAATGATGAATCTGAAGATAACGGAGCGGGCGTGTGGAGCTCCCAAACTCTAACGATCGACAGAGTCGCTCTTAAAACACAAGGACCTTCCACCCCGAGTGGAGAAAAGAGCAGCCGAAGAAGAGGCAGTCCACCGCCTGGTCCACCAGCCAATCAAACACCACCTCCCGGTTCCCTGAGCCAATGGTCACCCTCAGCTTAAAGTTGCACCCTTCGCTCAGGTTATTGTTGCTGATTGGAAACAGGTTCACCACTTCCATGTCGAAGGTCACGGCAGAGCCCGTGGTGATGGCGGGCAGCTGGTTGGTCATCTCTTTACCGTTTACAAAGACAGCACCTGAGCGGAGAAACATCAGCACCGGTTGGAGCACGTCATGGGAGGAAACTGAAATTCTAGACTTTTTTTGGGTAACTTAAAAACATTCTCTCTGAAATGTGCTGAATGAAAATGAGCCTAAAACGCAGAAATATTTGATTAATAATTTATACTTCATGTGAAATGATCGGAAATCTTTGAAAGTTTTGACTGCAGATAAACTTTGATATCACACCAACAACAGATATATTATTTAATTGATAGTTCTTAGATCCACAGTGCAGCTACATGGAAATGCTGCTGGTCCCATTTTAGATTTATAAATCCAGGCTTTTAGCCTGGATATATTTATATTGATGAAATCATGAGCATGTGTCGATGGGAGCATCTCTTCAGTTTGCTTTACTGTAATGAAATGAACAATAAAGATTTTTCTTTTTGAAAACTGTACAGGTTGAGAGAGTGAACCTATATAACTTTTTTCATACAACTCAAGTGTGATGCTTCGAAAAGCTATTTTATCACACTGACAAAAAAAGCACCACTACCCATGTATTTCTAAATGTGTAATGTAATACAGTGTAAGATAAGATCTCAGTGAGAACAAAGCATTTTAAACCGTGTGTGTGTGTGCACGTATACACACGGATACAGATCCTCTTAACACAAGCTGCAAAAGAGGCCTTCATGTCCACATACCGTTGGTGGAGATGCAGACGGCCTGGTCTTTCTGAAGAGACTCTGCCCCCCTTTGGTTGTCCACGCACACGCCCAGGCTGTCCCTCCGGTCCAGCTGACCTGCTGCAGAGATCCTGCAAACACAGAATATGGAGATGCACAAATACTTAAAACAAAGAGTCTAGCAGAAAAGAAAAGTCAATTTATCATAGACTAAAATACATGTTTGATTCAGCTGGAGAGAACTACAGCTTTACAAATGAGCTCCAGTATCTGAAAGGGTCCAGGTGCATGTGCGTACTTGAAGGTCAGTGTCTGACCACAGAAGTAGGTGGGTGATTTGGAGTAGAGGACTTGGCAGTGGGTTTGGGAGGAGTCGTTGCATAGAGCGATGTTTCTCCGGCTGCTCAGAATGTAGCCCTCAGTGCCCGGACACCACTCTGTTACAATGACACATCACACACACATTAGATCCACACAACAAACCAAAGAGTAACAGAGCATACGGGTTTGCCCATGACGCTGTGTGCGCTGTTTTTTTGACACAGTATGTAACGTTTGTCGCTCCTCACTTCAAAGTTCACAAAACCAAATGTATTTCTTAGCTTTATTTTTAAATTCTTGTTTAATCCAACCGGGAGTACGCTGCAGTTGAATCTTTTAAATGAAAGTGAAGTGTTGGAAGGTGCTTTCTTTCCTTTGACGCCACTAGAGAGATTTTTGAAATCTAAACCAATGTCTTGTTTAGAATGGTTTCACTGTTTTGGCACAGGGTTTCCCACTCTGAGTGGGTTGTTTGCAGGGCCAGAGGTCGTCCTGTATGTGTAGCAGAGGTCGTCTTCACCCACCGTGCGGTGCGAGTGTGGTGTATCCCGTCTGTGGGATGCTCCAGGGGCTCCATTCGGTGCGGCCCTCCCCGCGGGCGCACACCCTGAACAGATAATCTGTGTGAGGGTCCATGTGGAGAACCAGAAACTCACAATCCCGACCGATGTAGGAATCCTCATACTGGCTGCCCCCGCTGCCTGATCGCCGGTACTGCAGCCGATAATCCGCTGCTGCAAAGTCCTCATCCACCTGATGCACACAAAAAACGAGGTTACAGGTGCTGAACATTCACATTGATGTGTTCCTGTGTATTTTGTGTCCCCTTCCCTTGCTGACCTTACACCAGCGGACCAGAATACTTCCAGGCCTCTCCTGCAGCTCCTCTATCTGGACGGGTGGGTGGGAGGACACAGAGCCGTGGCGGGAGACCCGGTCCCTTAGCAGCCCCAGCAGGGAGTCGTCCAGCTGGGCTGAAACACTTGGCACGTCCACCAATGCTGGTACCTCTGGTAGACTGGCAAACACATGGAGCCAGTTCATTTCAATAGAGTGAATAACTGCAAACTGGTCATCAAGTACCAGTGTTACTGTTGGATGTTTTGTTTAATGATAGAATCGTTACACATATATGTACATGCTCATAATTTAAGTAAACAGGGAACTGAATGAATCATTTTGCAACTGACGAACATATTTGATTGTAACTGGCGTGTCAGCCGAGCATGGCTAATGCTACTACAAAAAATTCAGAAACAGCAGCAGGCCATAAGACTTCTCTCTGAACATGCAGAATCTAAGATACTTTTACTTTCAAACCAAAGTATTTATTATGGCTATTATGTTAAAATACATGTATGTATTATTATCATTTTAAATATTTTTTACTCAGGCACTTGATTGTACTTGAAACAGCATCACATTGTCTTTAAAGACCTTCTTTGTTGTTGTAACTGTTTGCATGTTCACACGGGTCCTGAGAAAGGACTAGTTCTTTTTATTGAACTGAACTTTGCAGTTAAGTGTGAACTTGCACAACACTGCATGAAGGTTGTAAACTGATGAAGTTCACTTCGGTCAGATTATAAAAACTGGCTCACTCTTTCAACTGCTGACATGCACTTTATATCAAGCACACTCTGACCGTGCATCTGTAGCTTTAAGTGTTAGCTGTGTTAGCTTGTTTCAAATGTAATAAATCATTTGTGATTAGTGTCAGAGGGAAACACCTGCAGTGATGAAAAGCGATAGGAAGAGAACTACCTGTCCAGCTGGATGTGCATGGCCTTCTTGGTGAAACTGCCCAATTTGTCCTCCTTCTCCCCGAGACCACAACGTAGAGCTGCTTCTCCTGGAGACAGAGGGTGAGTTTATTCTTTAACCCCAAAAAAATGTAACCAACAGTCTACAGACCCAAACAAATGTCTTTCAGTATCATGTAAAAACAGAAAAGGTTGCGACAAAGTAGAAAACAAGCATCTCTTTCCATTCCTTTTTTTAGGGGACCTACCCTCTCTCAGCAGCTCGTCGGCCTGACCCACCCCATGCTCAATGAGGCTCTGACAGTCATCCAGCGGTTTGACGCTGTCAGCTTCCATGGAATCCACTTCAGCCAGCAGGGAAGACAGTCGCTCCGTCAGCAGCCGTGTTGCTGCCGCCTGCAGCTCTGCGAAGTGCCTCCGGAGGGCTTCACGGGCCTGGCCTGAACTCCCCCGCACCTACAGAAGAAAGAAGAAGTAGGCACAAAAACCAAAAGGTGAGGATGTGAACCTGTGGGGTCAAACAGGGCGGAGCTTAATGTTACTGCTTCTTTATAATGCATCCCTGAACACCATCTTAAAGAGCGGGTTTGTTAAAATAGAAAATTTCTTATTTGTGACTCATCTGCTGATTGTGATCAATCGATTTAGTGATTGTTAAGTTGACAAATATTAAACAGTAAGAAATGCATTCCAATGCCAAATGCAACATCTGTGGTGTCACAGTGGTGTCTAAATTTAAACAACCAAGTCTACACACAAAGACATTGAAAAGCAGCGTCTCACATCTGAGCCTTTTTCACTATATTTAACTCATCAAATACAGTAGTGGTCTGGGACTATTTTTAGCGTTGGCTTAAGACTTATTTGAAACTGTTGTCAGTATGTGAGACAACAGCATAATGACTTTAAAAGACACAAGACAGAATATCATATTTTTAATACACAGCCACCAGTACTGTCACTAATACGATTTAGGACTGTGTTTTATAATAAAATGACCTTGCCTTACTACTACTCCTTCCATTAAAGTGGACATTAGGAGCCAAAATCTATATTAAATGTGTTGGTAGTTATTTATTTAGGCTAATTATAAAATCCAGATAAAGGGGGCAGGGGTGTGTTTTTTTCCTTTTCTTTTTTCTACTTCTTTGATTTGTTTGACGGGTGTTCAGACAAAGATGGGGGTCTTTCTTTCTGCCCCAGGTCTGAGCAGAAGTCCACCCACTGCATGACTTTGAAAAATGCTAAACACTGGGCAGGGACTGAGGGGCAGAGGGAGGCGGGGCTGCATGCCATTGCCACAGTCAGCGACATCCTCAGGCCATTAAAGAAATGGAGAGCGTCAGAATTCGCAAGGCGCCTCTGCCACAGGGAACTCTTTTAAGACAGACTTTTCCTCTCCAGAATCCCCTTACATGGGCATTCATGTGGTGGCGAACCATGGCGGTCCAGAGCCAGATTTAGTTTGAGCTGTTCACTCATCTGAACCTGAAGCTCTCAGAGATGATGGAGGTTCACTATAAATAATAACAAACAATCCCTATACTCAATCCACGCAATCCGCTCCCCACTCTGATATTATTTCTCTACCACAATGTATTTGGACTCATGGATCATTTTGGACGTGTCACAGTCAAGAGCCTGATTAGCGGCATTTTTTCCCCACGGACTCTGACACACATACATCTGTTAATACGCTGCAATGGAGAAGTGTACAGTCACATGTTCCACACTTTCCACAAATTATGGGCTGGCAACATCTGAATGTCCAGCATCATGAGCCTGCAAAAGCGGGAAACCACGAATTAGCGTTAACACCAAACAGATTGAGTGCAGGCTACTATTACTGTCAAGTAGCTCGTCAGGAAGCTTGATAGTTTGTCATGGAGGCAGGTTATGTTTCAGTTCCTCCACACACGCAAGCACGCGTTACACAATTAGTATACACAGTGAGAGAAAGCAGGAAATAGACGGCTGATTGACAACTCCCGACCTGATAAAACAGGGACAGTGTGACGCTGTGAATGGAAAACACACACCAGGTTTTCACCTAAATACACACTGAACTCTTGTGTGTGCGTGTTGCAGACATAGGACGTTTTTCCACTGGCGACAATGCATCATTTCCTGATGACTATCAGTACCAGAACAGACAACCGACCAGCAATATTTTGGGGTCGGTAAAATAATAAATCAAACTGAAAATAAACCAGAAATCTTCAATAATTTGTCAAACATGGGAGGAGATGATCTGACATCCGACACAGGCAAAGGTTTGTTTCCCAAATGTTTGGATTATACGACTCTGACGAAGACAAGATGTTGCAGTGATAGTATTGTCTGAGGGAGCGTGTGTGTGTGTGTGTATGAGAGAGTATAATATTTCCTGGAGTCTGATAATCTGGTGTTGAGCCATCCCTGCTGTGGGAAAAAGCAGCGTTATGGGAAAGAAACCCCACCTCATGTCTGATTCAAATAATGTACGATGGAACAGCTGGGATTGGGTGGAGGGAGTCTCACACACACAAACACAAAAAAGATTTCTGGAGGAATGAAGTGACCTTTTCTCTGAGCTTCATAAATATAACATAATAGGATGATCAAAAAGTATCAGAGGGGTTGTCAACTTTCTATCCTGATACGACACGAAAAAAACATTTTTTGAACAATTAATGACGTCATTTTCGGACTTTTTCATGACGTCACAGATCTTACTACATAATACTAATGTCCCAAACATGTTTTCAAACATTAACTCCAGAAAATGTCTAGATAATTGGGTCCTGACATTTTCTTTTCTAGGGTTTGTCTTTTACATATTACAACCCATCAATAGTGGCATCAGCCCTTAACACCAAAAACTCTCACAAGTCTTTGTTGACATCTCGGTCAGCCTCTTCTTTGTGTATGGTTCCTCTGTTTCATCCTCAGATGGTAGTATTCTTCCAGTTTTCAGCCTCTGTGTTGTGTTATAAACGTCATCAACACACACAATCGCTTGGTGCGAATTGTTCTGTGTCATTTTCCTGCTGTATCCTCACATGGTGTCACTTGGACATTTTCTGGACATCTTACTAGGAGGCTGCCAGGAAACGTTCTGGAAAATGGAGCAACTGTTGCCGATGTTTGCATTCTCACAGACCCTCTAGAACATTTCTGGGGAAAAAGGTCTGGAAGCAGCTTAACTGATTTCATATTTTACTTTACACTGTATAATAATAAACAAATAAGTCAGAGCATCATGTTTTTATCCCCCCCACTCTGTTTCTCTCTCCCTCCCTCCCTGTGTCTCTCTGTCCGTCCATAGCAACAGGAAGCGGCTGCATTGTTGACTGAGCAGCTGGACGGTTGAATCTAAACAGCAGGAGGAAGGAAGAGATAGCAGAGAGGGAGACGGGGAGAATATTCTCTCCTGGGACTCAGCCGGGTCAGAGGCTAATACTTCATTACTGCGCTGCTTGAGTTTATTTGAGACAGATAAAGATGGCGTCTAGGATGGAATACCCTCCATTTCTCAAGGGGACACCACTGGCTGCAGTAATATGAGCGGTTTTTCCTTAACAGGGGAAGTAAACCAGAAAGATGACTGAAGGGCTAAAACATAAAGTTTCGAAATTCTGAGTGACAGAATTATTGCATGTGGGCGTGTGAACAAACAGCAGTACCTGTTTTCGGGCCTGGTTGAGGCCATGCAGGCGCTGCTGGAGCTCACTGCGGTAGTTCTGAGCCGCCTCGATGCTTTCTTTCGCCTCCTGCAGCAATGCGTCCACCTCCGCAGACATCCTCCCTCCTCCTGAAACACACAGATAGATTATTTACAACACACAGCTGAATGGATAGAGTTGGATAAAAACTAATTAATTAATCGAACTGAATTTTAATCATATTTGAGGCACAATATGATATTTTACAATGAATTGAAGCTTATTTGAAAATGTGGGGTAAAGTGTACTGATGATGAAGGAAAACTGGGTCAGACTTTGTTTTTATTGTATGATGCGTCTAATGGATGTTCTCCAGTGACACCTGGACATTGTGCTGCATATGTTTAATACTTAAGAAACAGTTGATGAACAGCAACAAACAGGAGTGGAAGCTCCACAACTTCAAATGAAATGATTATTTTGTGTTGTTTTAAGGAGACATATGTTGTTTTTATAGTGTGTTACATAGTTTTTCTACAAAGTTAAAAAGCCTAAAGTCAGCCATAAAGGAAGCTCTTCTCCGTGCAGAAACACTGTGTCAGTAGTCCAGATCATTCTTCAGCATCGCTGACAACACGATTTACCACGTTGCATAATGCACGCTTAGTAGCTGGCCTAGCATGCCCCCTAAAACTGCAAAGTAAATATAGAGTGGAAGCTGACATTTCGTATGTGCACTGGAAGCAGTTGACCAATCACCACACAGTGGGCCAGCTGACCAATCAGAGCAGAATGGGCTTTATCAGGAGGAGGGGCTCAAAGAGACAGGAGCTAAAACCAAGTGTTTCAGACAGAGGCTGCAAAGAGGAGCTTTAGCAATGGACAGTATTGTAGTTTCCATACAAGAATTCTGACGAATGACTTTGCCTTACATCAATTTTAAACCCAATTTTTCGCACAGACGCTTTCAAAGCAACACAAATCTCCAGAGCGGTTAGGTGAGGGGTAGTGCAACATCAGAAACAGGATGTAACATATTAATTCAGATGTGGACATTGTGTGTTTTTATTTACAGCACATCGAAACTGAACTCATCCCTTATCATCAAAAGCGCTCTGGACTTGTCTTCATTGGTGTCCTCTAAGGCTTTTTTATCCTGAGATTTTTGTATTTGTTTTGTTGAGAATGTCTGGAGCCCCTCACTTGGACATTTGCGTTCTCACATACAGCTCCTCTGGAGAATGTCCGGAGATTACCAGGACTTCAGTGTATGTCTGGAGGCTGCTAATGAGGAAAGTGATGTGTTTTGTGAACATTTAAGCATGTACAACATTTCATGTAATAACACAATTCAAAATGATCAACCTGAATATGAGCAGAAAGTCTCCTTTAATAAGTGAACTAATTATACAATTAAACCGTTTTATTTTTGAAAAAAACAAACGCACAAACAATGTATTATTGATTGTTAACGTGGCAGAGTATCAGTTAGGGGAAATGCTTGACGTTTTCAACCATAATGTGGAGCTTAACTTTTAATAAGGTAGAATCTCCAAACTACAAGGTACAATACCACATGTAAAAGAAAGTGTGGCAATGTGTGGCAACAAGAAAGACACTTCCTGTAGCAACAAACCCACCAATGAGCTAACAACACGACTTCTTACTTGACTTAGTTTCAGTACCCAGCAGTGTGTGATTATACTGTTACTGACCTTTAAATAAAAGAATGGATAAGGATTGAGTCTGTTTGATAGGCTCCTTACTGTGACCTTAACACCTAGTATCAATGATCACTAAAATAATGCTGCATCTGGTTATTTTGGCTGCATGTTAATGTTATAGCCATTCGGTGAAAGGGAAACTGATAGTACAGAACAAAGTAACGTCAACACGTTGGAGTACTTGTTGGAGAAAACAATGGGTCTGTTGGCTGTTACGTTGGCGCTCACACCACTGCAGTTTCTTAATGATTTCTTCTGATTAAACACTTGTACGTCTCAATATAATATTCATTACAAAGCATTAGTCTGGGTTCATGTTTGAACAAAGATGCTGCAGCATGAAATGCACAAATATATTACTAATAGCCCTGTCATACCCAGAAACTCTGACTGAAACTGAATATGGGACAAATTTTGCACTACCCTAAATGTCTTCCTGTCACAGATGTCTGTTTTGTGGTGAAAGAGTTGACAGCGCTTGAAAGTCTAACTGTTGATTTGCATCACAAAAACTGCTCAGCCATTGATCGTTCAAACCATCACATTTGAATTTTTCATCTCAAAGTTTATTTGAATGTGTGTGACTGAGACTTTTTAAGTTTGTATCATCTCTTTCTTGATACCTTCAATTCACATGATGGTTTAAAATAATTTAGTTCACACTAAAGTCAAAGATGACAGTTTAGATAATTATTCTATTGAGTTACTTGTAATCTCACACTGCAGGTTTATTATGAAACCAATCCTGTGCTCAGGTTCGTCCTCCTCAGAGCTCCGAGCTGTGACACAACCTGGCCTCCTGCTGTGGTCGACCACGCTTCCTTTACAGCATCTGAAGAGGAAGTCACTAACAGTTCTCATGTTCTGCCATATACACACTGCAAAGTTTCACCAAGTCAATGAAAACAAGCAGTCTGAAGACTTCACCCGGGACCCCTCACTCACATTATATGGACTAGATCATTGATTGATTAAAAAATAAACAGATTAACTGATGGTAATTGTCATCAAATCATTCAAAATTAAATCATCTTCATTGCAGCCCTAAGTATATTTGTTGAAATTTGAAAACTGATGCAAATAATGAATTGGTTATCAAAATATTCAGTTTTAATAGTTCTATATTTCAAAAACTAATGGATTACTTGTCCTTTCTTTGACTTGTTTTTTTTCTGTTTCATTTCACTAATTGTTGTGAATGTGTTTGTTTGTTGGTTTTTGCTTTACATGCCTGTGTCTTTATATTGTTTATTCATTTATACCTTTGTCCATGTTTTCATCTCTTACATTTATGTCATGGATTATTAATAAGTATTACTTTCGTGTCTATGTATATACTTATGTGTTTTAAACATGAAGACCTGTCATTTTATTATTTGTATGTATAATCAACTTACCAGGAGATGAATGGTAGCCTACAATGTTAAATCAGCTAAAGAACAAATAAATACACATGAACTTAAACCAACTATCAGGATAAATGCAGACAAAATGGGTATCTGCTTTTATATAACGTCTGATGAGTAACAAGAAAAACCAATGGAAATGGAATGGTAATGGGAAAACCACAGATGTGGAGGGCACCACAACTTTGTGTTTGTCAATCTGTCTCATATCCACGAATCGCAGGTCATTCAGTACAGAAGCAGTGGATGTGTTTGTATTTGAGATGTTTTGGCTTCATTTCTGGACAGTGGGTGGAAGTAGAGACCTGTGGTCCATCTTTGTTTACAGTCTATGATTGAGACTATAAGACAGTGAAAGTGAGTCAGACACTTTCATCTTTTAAAAATGGAAAATAACAACAGTCTTAAAAATCCTGTATCAGTGGAGCTCAAACTGAATTTTCCATTCAAGGAAAGTTTTTTATTGAACGTTAATTGATTGTCATGGAACAAAATTGAATCTGATTGAACACAATACATGACCACTAAACAGATCTGCTGTTAATGGAACAACACGCCACACCAAACAAAAGTCCACTATATAAAATGTATACACATGCAAATGTGGAGCTGCAATATTATGCAGGCATGTGCTCCCTCTCTCGAATTGTCATAAACAGCACCCACCACTTAAATTTGGTCTAGCCATCTCTCACACATTTCTTTCTGCTAACAAAGTACCCAGGTCAGCAGCCTTAACAGCCACCCACAATATAAATTCTCTTTTTCTTTTTCATCCTCTTAAAACGAGGCTGGTCATCTCTTCATTTCTATAAACCAGCGGTTTATAATCTCTCTTTCTCTCCAAAACCAAAAGACTCTTAAGTGAATATCAGGCGCTTAGCCAAGCAAACATCAAGCTAGTTCTCCTGTAACACAGAAAATCTCTCTTGTATTTCTATGAAACAGGCGTGGCACCAAACAACAGAAATCTCCCCTTGTCTTTATTTCTTTTATGCTTTAGACATGAAGTGAATATGCAGCCAGACAATAACCAGCAGTGTGCTTTTCACAGTATTTAGGTCAACCTGCATGGGAACATGCTGTCAGGCTCTTTATGGGTCACAGATACAGTACATGCTTCTAATACTGCAGTGACACAGCTACAGCCTTTGTAAGACTCAAGAAATGCCACTGCATGTTTTGCTCAACGCTGTTTGTTGTGCTAGTGTTTTTGTGCCTTTGTGTGTGCTTGTTTTTGTATTCCTTTTTACACCCAAGAACATAAAGGTTTAAGACATACTGTTTTGAATCTCCGCACAATTTTCCTGACACTAACTTGACAAACATACTAAGTATAACAAGGCTAAAACTAAGTGACTGTTTTCCAAAGTAAATTCACCTTAAAATTGTTATGTCATCAGAAAATAATGTTTGTCAGGTTGCGAGGTCTACAAATTGTGTTTTTGTTTAATTGGTTCTAAGTCCAACAATAATCAGTTTGCTACTGGTATTTGAGAAGCTGCAAGCAGCAAGGTTTTTTTTTAATCATCAAAACAGTAGAGCCAATTAGTTTTCTATTGACTAATCCATTTGAATTAATCTAATCCTAACCCATTTTGCATTTTGTTTTGACGTGACCATACTTTTATGACGCAATCTTAAGTCAACAAGCTTCATGTGAGTGAGGAATTCCGAGAATCTGCATGCAGCTCCTTCACATGCTGCATGCATGCACATGCTCTGACCATCAGGAAAGTTATGTTTGGAACTCGGGTGCAAACAGACAGTTATATTATTATTAGAGCAGACCAGTGACGAAACGAGTCAACAGCAGACATCAGTCATGTCTAAACTCGCTCACAACGACTTCCGTATTTTGTAGTTTATATCTAGCAGGTTAAACCTCGCCCCAGCTGCATTCATCCATAAGATCCAGCATGTAAAATACACAATTACACAACTCACGATGTGTAATTTCCATGTTTTTTTGCGCTGGAGCAGTCACGAGGAGGCAGCTCCATGGATCTAGTGCTGAGGATCTCACTCTTCCCACACCTCGCTGAGAAATCTTCAAATTTTAAGTTGGCGCCTTTGTCAGCACACCCATATATATGATAATACCTTAACTTACACGCCATTTGAATAAGTACTGTATTTAGGTCAATTCGGCGTAGAAACACCTCATCAGACGACAACTCTTATCCACGAAAAGTAAACTTAAATGATGGTTAACGCTGCGAATGGAGTGAAATGTGGTGGAAGAAGATGATGACAATAACAGATGAAGTAGCAAAAAGAAAAACACGTTCAGCTGTGAAAGAAAATACCAGAGGACCGGTGGTGACGTGGAGAGTTGATATGAAGCTACATTCACCAGTTAACGACTCGACGTTACCTCCATTACAGCTTGTCCTTCTCTCGGTGAAGTTACAAGACAAAGTTGGGGCGAGCTTGCGGCCAAAAGACAATGAAACACGGAGCTTCTGACGAAGCAAACATCGCCCGAAGAACCGTCGGGAGAACGGTGAGATGGAGAACGCTCCTCCATGTGGAAGAAAGATTCTTACCGTGCCTGTTTTAGTGGGTTCTCGTCGGCATTTCTTCCCGAAGCTCGTGAATCAGCTCGAAGCCGCCGCCAGATATGAACTTTTGCTCAAATCCAGAAATGACACTTCCGAGGCTTTAAAGACAACAGCCAATCACAGGCGAGATCCTGCAGCTCGACAGGAAAACCAGCCAATTGGATCAAGATATGACCCCCCTCCCCCCGCCCCCTCGGATTGAGGTGATATTGATGAAACAGATCATGTTTGTGTCTTATCCCAGGGCCACAGTCTGGGGGGCCCCGGACCCCAGGAGCCCCTGGGGCCCAAGTTTATCAGGTGCATCTATAGAATTTTAAAAAATCAATTGGATGGTTCTTAATGATTAGAAATTGGAAATCAAACTAGTATTTGCTCTAGTCTCACAGAGGAGCCATATAGAAATTCAAAGTTTCACACCTAAGGCATTAAAATGTATAGTGTGGTCATTCGTTGTAAAGTTTTTTAAATTTATTTTTTGTCAAGCTGTATCTGTAGCATTGGATTGATTTCCCTTTACAATAATAACGCATGAGGAGTCATTAAAATGTACTTTAAATGACACAGGATACAAGCACATCGAGTTGGCACATATACAAATGAAGGACGGGGCTACACAATTAATTTGTTTGCAGTAACTGGAGTCATTTTAGCAGATCATTCAGCTGTAAGTGATTTACAAACAGTTTGTCGGATGAAACAATGAAATGAATCTGATATTCAACAGCGCCATCCTTTGGGTTATCGCAGTAACGACACAAAAATGAGTTCTTTCATGCACGGGCCGGTGTGGAGATATAGGGCTGCTATTGTTTGTTGTGGTTAAACACTTGAACGCTGAGGTCAGCAGCTCTTTCTAATGGTGAGTTGACCGTAATGGATCTCTGCGCCACTGATGTCACAGCTGAAGGCGCACTGTTGCACCATGATGTCAGAGGCGCAGTCAGACGCGCACGCACATCTGAGCAGCCCCAGGGCCATCCCTCGGATTAGCGCTTGAGCCGCAGGATTTACCGGAGAGGTGCCTATAATTCACCGGGAGCGACGCGCCGAGTCGGAGCAGTCGGAGGGATCCAGATTCACTTCATGTTCCAGTGGAGCCACAAGCTTCTTTTTGAATATCATTGCCAGACGCATTTTGCGCACATGACTCCAGGACTTTCCACACTGGACGCAGCAATTTCGAAAACTCTTATCCGAGTGACCAAAGTGGAGCCATGGCAGGTTTTACTCACGGTGCAACTAGGAGTGTTTGGGAGCTTTTTTGGCGGAGTCTGATGTTTTCATTAGTCATCTGAGGAGTGGTAATGTGCGTTAATCCTGCTGTCAGTGGACACGTCTAATCCCAACCCCGATTACAGCGCACGGATGGATTGTTTCGTGTCGGCCAGTTGGCTGACACCAGGGCCCGGTCACATTCAGTTAACCGCTAAATTTGCATCTTGAGTTAAAGTAATTTAGGGGCAGTTCAGTGTAATTTGTAAGCGGGTTCCCGGTTTCTCCTCCCGGCGCCAGAATGAGGAGAGCTGTGCTGAAAGAAGCCGCCAAACGATTCCCCTGGTTGGCCAATGTCACCTTGTACGGCTGCTTATTTGCCGGCGGTGACCTGGTCCATCAGCTCATAGCTCAGAAGGAGCGCATGGACTGGAGACACACTCGTAACGTGGCCATCGTGGCAATCAGTTTCCATGGAAACTTTAATTACTTCTGGCTACGTGCCCTGGAGAGGCGCTTCCCTGGAAAATCTGCCGGGATGGTTTTCCGCAAACTGCTGCTGGACCAAAGCTTCGCGTCGCCTTTGGCCACCAGTGTCTTCTACACAGGTGAGACTGTGACAATCACAAGTGTTTATGTCGAGAGTTCAGTCAACTTTTTCCATTCCATTGAAGTGTCAACAATCTGTATTCTTCTTTACAACTGTGACAACACAACCTATTAATAGTAAGGCTATAACTGTGCCAGCATGCACCCACACTTAGTGAGATAAGACAGGCAGAAATCTCGGGATGTACTTCACATGCTTTACAGTCAGTAGTGAAGTGATGCAGATATATCTCAATTAAACATTATTAAGGAAAACCTGAGGAGTTAGACGCATTGTTAGATTGTGCGTAATGACGCACGGATGGTTATCTGTCTGTCCTGCAGGGGTGAGCTTCTTGGAGGGCAAAGAGGACATATTTGAAGACTGGAGAGAGAAGTTCTTCAACACCTGGAAGGTAAGAAAGGCCTCGGCAGCGTCACCTGAATTAAAGTCACCTTCTCCTCCGGTGCTGCTGCTGTTGCTGCTCCTGACCAGATTAGCCTAGATTGTGCAGTGTGGCTGCAGGCACGACGCCCGGGAGCAAGCGGGGTAATTCAATCGAGACAGAGGATAAAATAAATCAGCGAGTTCAGGACGTTTTGGAGCTGAAGTCCTGCCAAATGAATAAAGCACTTCAGTCTCATGCTACTGTAACGGTGTGATCCTGGTCAGAATACACAGACATTTAACAACAACAGCAGTTTGAAGGCAGGAAAAGCACATTGTCTATATCTGAGCAAAAACATTTATCATTATAAAAATGTCATGTCACCATGATATTGTTTCAAGAAATGTAATCAATCATTTATCACACTGAAAACAAACATTTCCTCTTTTTCATTTTTGCTGTTTTCAAACATCAAATACTAAAATACAAAAATTAGAGATGAAATGATTTGATAAGACATATTTCTGCATTGCAGTAAAACAAATGATACCAAGTATGAGAAGCCAGAGCGAGATATTAAACGGTAACAGCGTTGTGCAGGTTCCTTTGTTTAAAGAGGGGGGACACATCTAATTTCTTTACAAAGATGGCTCCCACATTCAACACATCCAGTATAAACTGTAATTATCTTTAATGTGTATCTTCATTGGATTCTGTGGAGCCCTTCAAAACACTCATCATGTCCTGCTTTCACTTTCAGACTGGACTCATGTACTGGCCTTTTATGCAGGTAAACGTCAACTCCGTTTATGTGACTTTATTGCTTGACGAAAGTGTTTCACTTTAATGCCAAAGGAAGTGTACCAGGTAAAATTATAAACAAGAGCACATTTTCCTGTATCCCAGTGACAAGCCTAAATGTCATAACTGATGCAGTACTGACGAGTCTGTTTCTGTCAGTAAAGGTAAACCACATTCTCCTTTATTTATTTCAAAGTGGCCTCACATCAGAATACATATGTGTTCTTCCTGCGCATGAAGCATCACTCATCTCTAACTGCCTTTACTCATAATATTTAAAAAGGAGTGTGTTCTTTCCCCTTAATGCCACAACAGCATTAAGGGGAAAGAACACACATGGAATGAAAATTATATTCATCTGTTTTTTGCTTTGGTGCAATATAGATACATACAAACTATTAATTTAAGATTTACTCCAATACATTTTTTTTATATTACTACTCCTTATATTAAAAGGACAAATTAATAATTGCTTCTTGAAATTAGAAAATACTTTGAATGATTTAAAGAATTGGTTTGATTTCAGCTTTGAATGATCCTCAGTATACTGAACAGTAATGTAGGTGACCATTGTCCTGTTCTCTTCCCTCTCACTTCTGACAGTTTCTGAACTTTGTTCTGATGCCATTATACATGCGAACGGCCTTCATGGGCTGCTGCGCCTTCCTGTGGGCCACCTTCCTGTGCTTCTCGCGGCAGGACGGCGACGGCACTGCCGCTGTGGCTCTGGCTTTTGTCATGGATCCCCGTAAAACATTGGAGGAGATGCGTGAGGCCCGGCTGGCCAGAAGAAGGCAAAGGACCCAGAAGGAAAACTGAAGGAAGGAGGAAAAGAGGGTCACTACGTCTGTCATTCAAGCGTTTGAGCTTCGATAGCAGGACAGAAGGCGTTTTGACCTTTGCTAAAACCACACAAAGGGAAAGTGTAGAGAGCTGAAGAGCATCTCACTGGTTTATGAGAAACACTGTGTTACTGAGTACATACATCTGTCACATACACTCACATCTGTTTGACTGTAATATAGTAAATATGAAGAATTCACTGGAAGCATGGACCTATGGACTTCTCACTGTAAAGGGTATCTGTGATGTGATGAGGGACTGCGGCTGGTTGCTGTTGATGTTGGTTTGATGTGTGTCGATCAGGTTTAAGGGCTCACTTTTTCTTTACACTAGTCGTGCCTTCTTTTGGTGACAAGACCCCTGGTCCACGAGCTGGAGGTGTTTGGCTGACTGGGCATTGGTCACTAGTGGTAATGAATGCACTGAGATATATACATATATACATATGCTTTTGTTTTGGGATGCACTGATGTGTCAGGCCGACAGCATACACAAGACAACAGGCTTCAAAATTAGACAGGTTCATTGATGAGAATATTCTGAAGATATCAAGTGGTGGCATTAGAGGAAAGGTCAGGATGTTGTCAGAAACATTACAAGAGATATACCTACATTGTGGGCTATTACTACCTAACATCAACAACTAATTCTTACAAGCCTAACAGAAACATTTTGAATCCAGCATCAAAAACATCAATGGAACGCAATACCAGTATTACCAGAGACGTAATATTGAGCTTTAGTTAGGAGGTAGGCCTGCTTCTGGGTTTTATGCTCAGCTAAGCTAATCACTTGATGGCTGTAGATGGATATTAGTGTAAACAGACATGAGGGTATACGTCTCCTCATCCAACTCAATTCCATTTTTTTCATACAGCAGTAAGAAAGAGTATAAATATATTTTCAGAAATGCTGAACTCTCTCATTGAGGATGACGGCGATGCTAAGCTTAGCACTACCAGTAAAAGGGCTCATTATGTGTTAATACAACAGGATATTTGTCAGTGCATCCTACTTGTGTTGTGTGTCCTAGTTTTACCTGTTTTACCTGTGAAACTACACGTTCTCAATCCTGTCCTCTTACTTGAATGATCACATAGGTTGCCATCAGCCCAGCTACCTTATCATGCAACACATCCAGTTATCTGCACCAGACCCATCATTTACTTTTGAATAGATTTTAATTAGAGATGTTTGAAGATTTGTGTAGTTTACTTCTATTTATCCAAAAGAGAAGAAAGAGACTTTCAGATATACAGGTTTGTATCAGCGGTGTATAACTGGTTTGTACATAATATTTATAGACAAAATCTTATTTAACTTTAGGGTCGAGCACACTTTTAGCAGTTTGAAGCAAGCCTTCTGCATAACTACATAGACATTCTGTTTTTCCATGTTCAACATGAACATAACACCTCAAAGAATATAATTTATTCTTCAGAACAGAGATATATTGTAATATAGTAAACTGTGAGAACCTCAACTATTTCATTGCATCAGTACTGTGATATTATCAGAAATGGGACACTTCTGTTGTGTGAACACTTGTACGTCCAATTTGACATAAGGGACTGGACATTAAAAGTGATGAATAAATCACAGTCAAACAGTTCTATCTCATTGAATAGATGTGATGTCACGGCTGAGATTTTAAGGGAAATTGGTTCAAACATAAACAACAAAGTGTTGCACTGTCAAGGCTGGAATACCAATTAAAGAGTATCCAAGAGTCCCAGGTTTACTCCAATTGACCATTGTCTAACTTTTGTTTTATGACCTGAACCGTTTGCGTTTATATTGAGCTCTTTGTAGAATTGATTGTACCCTGGGAAGATGCTGTTGATGGAGGGATGCAGACATGGCATTTGAGGCAGAACGAACGTGGCTGGAGAGCAATAGTCTGCCCTGTGGAGGTTGGCTGCAGGGGTTTCATGGCAACATCCACCATCAGGTTGCTCAGAGAACTGGGGATCCACAGATAAGCCCTATGCCAGACCATAAAAGAAACCTCACACAGAACGCTGCAGCCAATAGCTCTGGATCAGGAGGAAAGATCCCAACTGGTCCCCAAGATGCAAGGGACATGCACCCAGGTCTGATCAACCTGTGGTGTCTCGTGATTAAATATCTGATGACACTAAGGTACACAACTGAAGACATGTCCCTAACATCCTCTGGTGGTTACTAACATCCAATAACATCAACTAGTTTTTGGCATTAATTAGTGTGGTAGAACATACAAGGAATATTCTCCATCTTGTCCTATTGTCTAAAATGGGACAGTGTTTAATTTGAAAAGGCATAGAGGTAATGATGTCTGATCTACTGAGTGGCCACATGGCTTTCATAGTCAAATTTACCTTTAGTCTCAGCGTAGCCTCAAATTGGACCTGTATCATTGATTGCCAAGATGCACAACTGAAGTTATGTCCCTAACATCCGCTGACAGCTGCTAACACTTGCTGACATCTACTGGTAGTTTGTTACTTTATTTGTGCAGAAGACCTTCAAACGTACAAGGGATATTCACTATTTTCAAAAAAAATTTTGTTTCCTTTTTCTTATGTCTTCAGAGTTCAAGACTTTTTATTTTTTCCTACACAGAAAATTCTGGGTAAGGAAGTATTATCTCACACAGAAGACCAGTAACCACCAATTAATTTATCTGACAGTTGTTCCAGTGTATAAAGTGCATAATTAGTAAAATTTCCTCTTCATTATTCTGGCAATCCTAAATAAACATTTTCAAATTGTTTTTCTTGTTATTCTTATATATATATATATATTTGGTTGAATTATAAGTATAAACATATTGAAACAATTCCCTAATATTATCAATGAAATGTGAAAAAAGTTTGATGTTATGCCATAGATGTACTTAAACCACATTTCTCATTTTAACGCATGAGGCGAGAGACTGATCTGATATTCCCCCACTAAAATGACACGTAAAATTACACTTTTTTTTCATGCTGTGAATTGGTCTTGTAAAATAATTAATCCTCAAATTTCACACTTTTGAAAAAAAGCATAAAAGTCAAATTCTACCAGTGAACTATACCTACAGCCAAAGTTAAAGATAAGGTCGTCAGGTCACTTTGACAACATGTGTATGAAGCAAGGCAGATGGATCTGTGTGTGTGTGTGTGTGTGTGTGTGTGTGTGTGTGTGTGTGTGTGTGTGTACAGCAGCTTTATGCTCTGATGATGGTGTGTGTGGATTAACCAGGATCAGATAGGCCAGACTAATCCCTCTGAAAAGGACAGAGTTGATCCATTGTGACCTCTGACCCCACAAACAGGAAGTTAAATTCTCCAATCAGAGCCAACGGACGGGTCAGGTGCTGTATAACTGAAACATAACCACCTTACTTTACATCATATAAATGGCCAGATGTAGAACAGGAGGAGGGGCATGAGGGGGAGCATGCTTTCCTGCATAAAGGTGTAATACCTGGGAATAATATAGTGTTTTTATTCAGAGGAAAGGAATAAAGTGTTACAGGTCAGTTAATGTGATGCATGTATGCATATAGATTCTTTCCTTTCAGCTGTTAATGACTCGATGTGAATAAAACTCTGATGTTTTTTTAAGATCTTTTTTCTTTTGTGTGGATAAAGAACCAAGCTGCACCTAAAGTGGTTGTTTTATTTACATGGTAAATTGAAGTAGAAATGCCTAAGACAATTACATATATAAGAATACATTATAAATTGATGTCTTTGAACATCACTGTTTGAATAATGTGAAGTTTTAACTTTTAGATGTGTACACAGGAACTGTCACACACTGAGAAAATAGGCTCCCTTTAAAGACGGGGGTGTCTTTACACCTTTTTTCCTGACAGGAAAGCCATTTTATGTCTCATCTCGGCCTGTTCCTTTGTGGTCATCTTCTTTGTGGTGTTTTCTGGGGGATGTCTTTTTGGGTCATTTTGCATCTTTGTAGACATTGTGTGTCTCTTTTTTAGTATATTTGCATCTCAATTTAGTTGTTTTGATTCATTCATTATAATTTCTCTTTTAGGTCGTTTTGTGTATCTGTTGAAATGATTTGTCTGTTTAGAATGGATTGTGTGTCATTTGGGTTGTTTTGTGTCTGTTTTTAGATATTTTGAGTCACTGGGGTCAGGATGTGTGTCTTTATGGTCATTTTCCCTCTGTAACTATTTCGTGTCTCTTTATTATTGTTTTGCGTCGTCTCTTTTTAATTGTATTGTATCTTTTTCTTGTGCCTTGTGTCACCTAAGAGTTGTTCTCTGTGTCTCTCTGATTGTTTTTTGTCTCTCTGATTATTTTGTGTTTCTCTGTAGTTGTTTTGTCTCTCTCTGATTGTTTTGTGTCTCTCTACGATTGTTTTGTGTCTCTCTCTGTAGTTGTTTTGTCTCTCTCTGATTGTTTTGTCTGTCTCTGATTGTTTTGTGTCTCTCTTTAGTTGTTTTGTGTCTCTCTGTAGTTGTTGTGTGTCTCTCTGTACTGGTTCAGTGTCTCTTCACAGTTGTTTTGTGTCTCTCTAGTTGTTTTGTCTCTCTCTGTACTGGTTCAGTGTCTCTTCACAGTTGTTTTGTCTCTCTCTGATCGTTTTGTGTCTCTCTCTGATTATTTTGTGTCGCTCTAGTTGTTTTGTCTCTCTCTGATTATTTTGTGTCTCTCTAGTTGTTTTGTCTCTCTCTGATTGTTTTGTGTCTCTCTCTGATTATTTTGTGTCTCTCTAGTTGTTTTGTCTCTCTCTGATTATTTTGTGTCTCTCTAGTTGTTTTGTCTCTCTCTGATTGTTTTGTGTCTCTCTGTAGTTGTTGTGTGTCTCTCTCTGTACTGGTTTAGTGTCTCTTCACAGTTGTTTTGTGTCTCTTTTCGGTCGTTGTGTGTCTCCGTTGTCATGTTGTGTCTCTTTGTGAGCCTCTAGTACTCATGATCGTTCACTGAGAATCCATCAACACGTCTGGAGTCAACTGTGAAGATTATGCAGATATTCCTCTCCACTGATATCACCTCTCTGATTGGACCACAACCCTGATCCCGCCTATCGCCATATGATTGACGTACAATGCACCAATAGCGCGGGTGAACGACGCTGTCGTGAACTCATGATTGGTGAACCGCTGTGCACCGTATGAATGGACGCTTGTATTGTTCGACGTCCTCCCGAAGCTTGAGCGAACTTTACCGGATCAAACTGCTGCAACGCGACTCTTTCTTTTCTCCTTCTCCTTAATTCGACCCACGAACTGTTGGGCTGTGAAACCAGCGCGTGAAGGAGGTGCAGAAAAGGAAACCGGCTCGTTGACGCCACGTTGAACGAGGCTAAGTTCAGCTGAGAGTAAGTTACAGCTGTGATGTGTTTGTCTGAGCTGGGATTTAAATGGTTAACGCTAAACTCCGTTAGCTGAACTAGCTCATTTCTCTGCATTTACGAGCCAACGTTCTCCTGCTGGGTTGCTGCACTTCTGCTGTGAGTAGTTTGAGTTATCATCTGCAGTGTTGATACAAACAGGTGTTTGTAACGACCAGCCCCATGAGGGCTGCAGTTCCCCGTTATCTTCTGCCTCAGGCTCCCGTTGTTTTGTTTCTTGTGGCCAGACTTCACGTTAATCTTGTATTTCATTTACTTAACAAGTGGATCGTGTTCCCTTTTTGTTGAGTTTTACTGACTTTTCAATGTGTGATCAATCGCCAGAATCGATTATTTAATTCGTCGCACATTGTAAACTCAAAGAAACCTTATAAGAAGTTGGTTGAAAGTCATTCATGTGATTTGATCGCTCCCATCGAAGCGCGATGTTAGCGATGACGAGTCTAGAAACGGGGGTTTTATCTGAACACAGAGCTAATTGTTGGTTAACATATAATGTGTTTCTATTGTTGACGCCCTGCACTTGTCTCAATGTCTCGTTTCACTGGACCCGCAGACCAGTGTGGGTGCAGGACCGGAGAGCCAGCACTCCGCCGGGCCTGGAGATGGGGGATCCAGAGCCTCCTGAGTTTGGGTCCCTGGAGGAGGAGCTGGAGCACTGGAAGGATCAAGCTGCCAGGCACCAACAGAGGTGAGGCCCCCCCTGTTTGTGTTGGTTTATTTCGATCCCCGTCAGCCACTACTCTTCCTGGGGCACCCACAAGTTTTCTATACCAGTACTTCAATAATAGAGACACATCAACACACAACCGCATCACTTATACTAACAAAAGACTCACAATACAGTGAATACAAAGCATAACCAACATCAAACTCTAACATATTATAGCTCAAGATGTATTATTTAATTATTTGTGGGATATTAGCTTTCTACATTCACATCGCATCTTCAAGATCAACAAAAAATTAAATCATGTAAAACATAATGTAGTGCTCTGCAACAGATACAGTTTAAATTTTTTAAAACATGTCTTATTTTCTGATGTCAAACTATTCCATTTTTGGCCACGTTTGCTTGATAATTAATTGTCCACTGTATTAAACCAGGAAATTAGTTTCTGGGCAAAATTATAAATCACTATAAAGTTAATGCATGTTGGTGTTAATAGATGAGATGACTCACAACTTCAAAAGTCTTACACTGATTTAACTGTGGATACATTATAAAGTTATATATTTATACTGTATCGTGATGTGAGAATACATATTTGGCTTAATTTGCCTGTTTTTTGTATATGTGTGTTCCTAACCTTCCAACGCAGTCAATTTTGATACCTTCCACATTTAAATCACAGAGCCCCTAAAGTCCTCAAGATGACATTTGATCTGTTAATATAAATAAGTTAATATTTTGTTTGAACATGTTAATATTGTTCCAATAAGATAATAACTTATCTGCAAAACTTTGAATCTCCCAGTACCTCTTGTTCTGTCGTAAATTCTTAAAACAATAATGAGTACTTTTTAATTGCTCTCCAGTTCACTTTGTAGAAATATGAGTCCCTGGAAACTCCTGCAAGACAAACTATCATGAACCCCGAGGTGTTTTCCTTTTCAACACTTTTCTGTGGTGTCAAGATTTTTGTGTAGAATCTGTGTATAATCCATGAAGGACAGATCTTCTTTCAGTGGGAAAATGGTCAGGTTGTGTTTTTCATCCAAACACGTCTGGTGTAGACTCAGACTTTGTCTGTGTGCTCTATATGTGAGAGTTTTTTGCTGAATTAATTATACAAACAGAAACGCTGTGAAAGAATAACATAACACCTGATATTTATTCTCTGTGTCTATGGCGATCAGTGCGGATGAAGCCCAAGAGGAGCTGCAGGAGTTTCAGCAGATGAGCCGAGACTACGAGGGGGAGCTGGAGACGGAGCTGAAACAGTGTGAGGCGCGAAACCGCGAGCTGCTTGCCACCAACAGCCGCCTTCATATGGAACTAGAAAACTACAAGGTACATTATCGGTACTCGCAGCACTTGCAGAAATATAATTTACCCACATTGCAGCATTATAAATAAACCAGAAGCTGAAAAATAGACATTAAAAATTTAGAATTGATATGCAGAGAAATGTATCAAAGCTCAAACTCTGACAAAGATGAATAAAAGAGACACTTCAAATGTGGATGGTTAAATAGTTTGGGCATAAAAGCAGTTTTATTCCAGTGTACCATGATAGATGGAGTAGTCTTGTTTCTTCCAGAGTTGTACAATTGTACAAAGCCAACTGGACTTTCTCTTGGTTCTCAAAGACATGTCACCTCTCATCTCAAAGGCCTCTTCTTTTTTAAATGACTAAATGGAGGTTTCAGGTATTTAACCTCTGTGGGTCTTTTCAGAGTCGTTACATTTAACTGCAGTGCACATTGAAGAGAACAGAAGTCAAAACACACACACTCGTACAGATCATTACATACTTTTTGACCCACATCACCCACTGGAACAAAAGCTTGGCGTCATCAGAACTTTACACCGCCGAGCACAAAACATACCCACAAGGACCAGGGGCAAGGTGAAGGATCAAAATCGCATCAGGGACGACCACAACTTGGAACAACATAGCGATCCCATATGTTACTGGAGTCTCTGAAAAACTGAGGCAAATGTTCTTGCAAACACCAGAAGCTTGTTTCCCTAAAGAATAAAACATCCAGAGACAAATATAACAAGGTGGTTTATGCAGTCCAAAACAATGATGATTGCATAGACCTATACATCAGGGAAGCAAAACAACCAATACATAAACTGTTGGCACAACATAGGAGTGTCACTTCCCCAGGACTCAAAAGTTCACGAACACTTCAAGGACTATTAATATTTCCTTCTAACCATCCCTGATTTCGGGAGCATCGCTAATACAAGTCATCGGTTAATTTGCTTTTATAGCTTTTACTGAGGCTTGTCCAGAGGTGCAAATTATTTTAATAGCATTGAATCAACAAGCTGCCTGTTAAAGTGGATCTGAGTGGGTATTTCCCTAATTATCAGCTGATACTAGTTGCATTTTATAGCTTCTGTTTGCCTGTGATGAATAGACTTCATTGGTGCTGTTGCCTGAACTCACACACATACACACACACACTTTCACAGAGGACTTATTCAGTGTGGGAAAAAGCAGCTGATGCCTCCTGCTTGGTCTGTGTCTGGAGGGGATGGGAGTTCTTCCATCAGACTCCAGCAATGTCACAGTTCACTCACACCATTTTCTCTCCTAACAAAACAAGTATATCGTCCTTCTGAGAGCAGATCTATTAACTGCCATTTTGAGGGAGAGTTGATTATTTAAAAAAAACAAGGCTCAACTGGAATGGTGCATACCTCACAAAACAGTGGAGATCATGGAATTATAATGTCCATAACTGAATTAATCCAAATAATCGTAGCTACGTATTAGTGCTAGTTACAAAGTTCTAGCTCTATTTGTAACTTTACAACAGCTGAAAAGAAAAAAAAAAACACCTAAGCCCTTTATGAAACCACATTTAAATCTGGGAGGTCTGGATTTTGTTTTGGAGCCGCTCCAAATTTGACTCACTCGTAGATATGAATCCTCTAAATTTGGATGAGTTTTTTAACCCATCAAGATCCATGAATCTTATTTTGCAATGTTAAAAAAAAGTGATTTAAAAAGGCTTCATCTGTCCCTCTGTCCAGATCCATGACAAATGTCTTGACCCAAACAAATATAAACAAACTGACAGGAGTGAAACAGAACCTCCTTGGTAGAGATAAAAGAAAAGTACTGTTAATCCAAATTAAAATAATACACTGGAGATAAAGTTAATTATTAAACAACAAGCTAATACTATGTTTTCGAGAGGATGATTCAAATGTATGTTATTCTGTTGAACTGTATGTTTTCAGACTGAGAGGTTTCTTTAATATTTCACCTGCCCTGATTGAGTCAAATTTGTAAATACATATAAATGGCCTCAATAAAAAAAACACAATTTTCTTTTTGAAATTAGGGTGTATTGCAAGACTGTTAAACTACATGATTTATGGCTCTGTGTCACTGGCAACTGAATTCATAATAATATCAATGTTTATATTTTAAAATAATAGTAGTAATACAATTTATAATAATATTATTATTGGTGGAGATGGTAATTTAGAAACAGGTCCTCAGTGATTATGTGAAAAGGATTTTTAAAGCTAATTATAAATCATTTACTCCTTAGTTGTTATTTTTTGTCAGGTCATGGTCTGACCTTTTGTAAAGGGTTCGGGGGAACTGCGCGGAAAAATACTGAAGATCTGTGCAGATTCATGTCAGAATAGAATAGTCATGCGGCTGCAGCAGTTAAAGAGGCTGTCAGAGCAGTAAACCTGGTTTATCTCAAACAGCATGCATGTCCAGTATGCAGAGACTTCATGGCATTTGTTGAAACATGCTGAAGCTTGACACAGTGTAGTGTTGTGTGATACCTGGTTTTGTGCAAGCCTCACAATGTCTCCTCTGAGATTGGCACAGACAATAATTTACCACTAAAAGATAAAAAGGTACAAATTCATATGATATGAATCAACAACATGATTTTAATATAAAAAGTTATCATGGTCTGATTGGGGTATATGCAAAACATGTTACATTTCCTTTCTGATGCTTTTCTTTTGGCTTTTAGTTCAATTTAATGTTTAAATGCTTTGAAGTTGAAATCTATCCACTTGATTTTATCCTCTACTCATCTGCTGTGGTTTTTATCTTCTTTTCCCCTGCTGACACTGTGGCTGGCCTCCTACCAGGAGAAGTATGAGATGCATCACTCCGAGGCCTGTCGGCAAATCTCCAGCCTGGAGGGAGACCTGGCTGAGACCACGGCCGTCAGAGACCATCTTCACAAATACATCAGAGAGCTGGAGCAGGCCAACGATGACCTGGAGAGAACCAAGAGGTCAGGAAGCTCACAGGGTGTTGTACTGTACCGCAGAAATTCATTTGCTCCAGTTCTGAACAGAAACCATGTGTTTTTCATAGTGTGACTAAATAGATTTTAGTCATGGCTGTAAAACTACAGAGAAATCAGCCAGATCTGCATTTGAATACTGCAATTGATTATTTCAAGTATATATGTATTACCACAAAACTCATAATGGCCCATGAGGAAAAATAATTGAATATTCTTCATTACTCATCATCAGTTATATGTTTTTTACCAAACCTTCTCCCTAACCTTTTTCTCTGACTTCACTGACACTGTAACAGTGATCATAAGACAGGTTCGCAAGTTGGAAAAATCCTCTAAAGTGATAGTTCAGCCGTCCTACCAAAACTAAAACATGCTTAGAAAGTATAATAATGTTAAAGTAAACATTTTTGCCCTTGATAAATTTAGAAATCACACCACTGAACTGGTTAGGAGCTGACAGGAAGTGCTGCAGTATCTGCGGAACATGCAGATTCCACATCTGGTCTAATACAATAGATCGAATAATTTCACATCATCCGCTGACGTCCCCCTTTTTTGCCTCGTGTGTTTCAGGGCAACCATCATGTCACTGGAGGACTTTGAGCAGAGGATGAACCAGGTGATAGAGAGAAATGCTTTCCTCGAGAGCGAGCTGGACGAGAAGGAGAATCTGCTGGAGTCTGTTCAACGACTGAAGGACGAAGCCAGAGGTAGAGAAGAGGCAAAACAGAATACCCACATATCATAACAGTTTTAATGCATGACTTTTGAAACTTTTCATAGAACCTTTGGCAGTGTGCCACAGATCCCGGGGGTCAGCGCACCCCAATTTTAGAACCACTGTATTCTAGTTTAATAAACATATGTACATACACATTTAACTATAGTCACATAGTATCTACCTGCGATGCCTGTACTGCATTAGTCTGATTCCAGGCTTAAAACTTAAAGATCCCCCCAAAAATAATTTTTTAAAATGTCAATGGAGAAAATTACAGTGAAGTGTTTGTGTGCGTGTGTGTGTGTGTGTGTGTGTGTTTTAGACCTAAGACAGGAGCTGGCAGTGCAACAGAAACAGCAGGTACAGGACAGGAAGCCGTCTCTCAGCAATGTCGTCAAAGAGCTTCCATCATCTTCCTCCACGGCCGGGCTGCCCACCCCTCCTCTCACCCCTGCAGATAAAGGAACTGAGGAGAAAACCACGTCTTTGCCCTCTAACCAGCCCATCCCCTCTGCCACCACCACTACGCCGTCCAGACCTCCAGCCCAGACTGACTACTTCACCACACCTCCGCCCTCCAGCAGCAGAGGTCAGTTCATTAGCTGGTCTGGACTGAGTGATTCACATGTGTTTGTGTTTTTATACTTCCATGTGTGAAATCTGCATTCGCAGCCTCAGGGCTTTGGACTGGTGCCATCCTTGGAGCACTTGCTCTCAGGCTGCAGGAAAACCATCTTTACAGTCATCAGCTTGAACTTGTTGCAGTCTGTGCTGCAATTTTCTTCATTACTGCCAACAACAATATGCACATTTTATGTCTCCATGTTAGTTAGTAGGATCAAGCAAATACAGATATTTTTGAAACTCAGGATAGAACCATTTCAATGTTCTTGTGCATCTGGATAGGGGGGGATCTAGGACCTTTCCCTTTATTCAACATAGCACGATAAGACATTTGAAAAAATCTTGTTGATTTTTTTCAGAGAATAGTTAATGGATCTGGAGAGGAAAAAAACAGCCATGTTCAGGGGACTGATATTTATGAGTGTGTGCAATTTGTTACACCTCCAAATGAAAATGGATCCAGTGAATTTAAACATGGTTTCATAAGGAGACTGTTGGGCCATGGTGGAGGTGTACTACTGAGTGATATAGATTATCTAAACCAGGTAATAATAATAATAATAAGTCTGTCATCATTACTTTTCAGGACAGGAAACCAGTGCGAGGCCTCTGAGTATCGCTGATCCAAAGTGATGATGAGTCAGAATCTATAAAAGTCTTAAAAGAAAAAACTATACTGTTAATTTTTGTTTTGTTTTCCAGAGTATCTAATCAAATAAATTAATAATTTAAGTTTAATAGAGAAGATGAAGACACATCTCGAGCCAGGAATATTATTATGAAATATCAATGTAGCACAGGAGTTTTAATCTAATCAATTAGTTGATCACAAATAAGATTCTGATAATTGATTGACAAGACACTTTCTGGTGTCAGCTGTTAAACTGTCTCTATTTCTTTTTTTATATCAATGTGAAGTGTCTCTGGACTGATCAACTGGTTTGTCTCTGCAGGTGAAAGCCTTTCAGCGACCCCTCTCACCACCTCGGCGAGAATCTCGGCCCTCAACATCGTTGGGGAGCTCCTGAGGAAAGTCGGGGTGAGAACCGCTCTTGTGATTTTTGACCCTGCGCTCTCATGGACTAAAGAGAACGTCCGTGTTAAATGAACTGTAATGAATCAACCTGTTCACACCCTCTGTGCTGTTTCTCATATGATGACCTGTCATGTGATGCTGCACGGTGCCTCAGGTTTTTCTTCACCGCGACTCATCGAACAGCACAAACGGCTGCTTCTCTGAAAGCTTAAGCTGTTAATTGATTTTGAAAGGCAATGCAATTTAGAGTGAATAGTTGTAGTGCTTCTATTTCTCTAGTGTTATCACAGTGTGAACAAATCGAACATTAACTCGAGCTGTGCCCAGACTGTAGTGTTGGGTTATAGTCACTGACAAAGATTCTCAGGGGTTGAAATATCTCCATGTCATGCATTTTTACACTTTAAGGCAAAATGCACACACATAATGAATGTATCCAAATATTCACAAAACAAGAAAAAAAACCCAGAACCAATTGACCATAAAATATCTGTTCATCTAACAATTCCAGAAGTCTGTCTGTCTTTCTAGCTTGAAAGGTTCAGTGTGTCACATTTAGTGATATCTAATGTTGAAATTGCATGTTCCAGCTGAACACCCCTCACCTCACCCTCCCCTCCCAAACATGAAAAACAACCTGTGGTAGCTTCAGTTGTCATAAAAACTCAAAAGGTGTTTAGTTTGTCCAGTCTGGACTAATGTAAAAAACATGGCGGCCTCCATAGAGAGGCCGCCTGCAGCCAGCCACCAGGGGGTGATCCAGACAGTTTGACTTGACTTCTGGGGAGCTGTCATGTTGTTCCATCTTTACATACAGTCTATGGGCTGGATCGCCATGAAATTTCATTTATGGTTCTTGGAGGATAAATCTTAATGGATGTGGTGACCCCTCTTGCGCCACCATGAAGTTGACATTTGTTGTTGTTCTTTTTTCCATCTAATTTGTGATAGAACCTCGAGTCCAAGCTGGCATCGTGTCGGGAATACGTCAACGAACAGACAGCTAATCGCAGAGGTCAAGCCGGAGGACAGGGGGTGCCGGCGGCCCAGAACTCCTCAGAAACCCATCCCACCAACGGCCTTTACAACAAGGGGTGAGGTGCTCTGTCCTGTAGGGAGCAACAGGCTAACAGATGTAATGGTCAGATGAATAAACATATACATATATACGAACCTCCCATTCGTTACGTTCATGATTACATCACTGTCTTCAGAACGCCTGATGGTGTTGGAGTTGCCAGAGAGGTGCAGAGAAACATTTTCATTTCTCAAAATCTTAAATATGTATATATTTGGTGCATATTTCTATGTGTAGAATTATTGTTGATCAATGTGTTTTTTTATTTATTCAATCTAAAACACAATTTCAGTACTTAAATAATATATTGACTGAACATTTCTATTTTAGGGTAAATTATCACTTAATAATTGTCATATGTCCTGAAATCAGGAAATATTGTCTTGTTATTCAAAAGTAGAAATTCCTTTGAAGCATGTTTGCGAGTGAGGTGGGAGCGGCAGAAGAAGCTCTCTGAATGTGTCTGCCATGTTTTAACAGGCTGGTGAAGAGGTTAGACTTTGGAGCGGGACACAAGCTGCTGCTGTGAAAGTGAAGACATCCCCCACCTCTGTGGTCTGAGCTGCTCTCCTCCTCCTGTCCGTCCAGCCTGGACCCCTCAAGCACGTAACGGTACCGTGCCTCGCACATTATAATGGTGGTTTCTGCTTCAGGACACAGGACGTTCTAACCGGAAGCTTCAGTGGTGAAATGGATGGAAATGTTACTGCAGGTACTCTGGGATGTCTTTGTCACCTGCTCAAATCTTTTCAGCACTCGCACTTAGCTTGATATACCTTCTTGGACTCGCGCTGCATGTGTCCACCTCACCTTCTTTGTTTGGATTTGTCAATTATTTTGTGTGTGTGTGTTTTTTTTATGTGTGTGTGTGTTTCACTCTAAAGGTGTGTTCAGTGAATCTTTACCGAGAGAATTAAAGTGTTTAGTGATATAAGGAGACCAGGATTCATCCACTCAAATATAAAATGTTCATTTTCACAGCACTCTAGAGGAGGATGAATGTCCAGAGGGAAACAGCAGAACAAAATGACACCAGTCAGTACTGTAGATTTCGCTTATATATATTTTCTAATTATTGTGGCCACTGCTGCAATGCCATGAAGTAGTCATTACTCCCACTTTTAATTTGAAATGACAGATACAGGTAGAGGAGCATAGATAGATACAGATGGACAACAGGAGGGCTCCTCAAAGGGAAGCCAACATGTCCTGACCGACCCCTGGTGGCAAGCTGCAGAAGAGGTCATAATCCCCACCTGCTCCATGTGCGCTGATGGGACATGGACTAAACAAAAGTCAAAATTTTCTCAAAGATTGTTTCTGTCATATTAGGTAGTTCTTATCACACTGGTGTTGGTTCAACTGTTCATGTTTCTGATGAGTTTGTTTCGAATTAGTTATTGGTTGCTATAAAAATGAGGTGAGACATGATAATTGACCGCTGAGACTGACTTATGATTGGTCAAGCAGGTGCATCTGTGGGATCCTGCTACTGAGACTCCATCCTCTGATCGGTACTGCAATGATACTGCTTCCAAATTAAGTCTTTGGTGCAAGATGCTTTTTTGCTTTGTCTGAACACACCTTGAGGGTGTTTGAGCAGGAAACACTGTAAGGGCACTTTTATTTTCACCACAACAGAGGGTTTTTTTCAATACTACTTTTATATTTATACCACACTGTCAGCCAAGGGACGATTTGTCAAATAATGGGTTTGCAAAGAGGCAAGATCTGTTTCAACAACTTAGTGCCACTAATCCAAGTGAGAATGAAAAAGAATAATTGTCCCTTGTTTTACTGCTTTCATCCAGGAAATAATCTGTATTTTTATATTTTACTGACTAGTTTCCTAACTGTAGACTGCAGAAGAACACAGACCTTTAATCTGTGTTGTCAGCCAATCATCTCTGAAGTATGGATGTACCTCCCACTGCTGTTTGTATTTGTCAGAGGAAAGAATACTTGTATAATGCTCAAAGGGAAACGGACTGAGTTGAGCGAACCAAGAAAGTAGCAAACACCACGTGTGAACACGATAAACTGAGACACCGGTCAAACATGTTTTCTAACGCGCTGTATCTCTCTGGGAGCCACGATGTTTTAATGAAACTTGGCCTTGGATGTTGCTTCACCCAGTGGCCATGAGCGGTTCTGCATCTTAAACCTGCCTTAATAAATACAGTTTCTAACGTTGTATTCAATGTGAAAGGAGTTTCTTATTAAGATTATCATCATCTCTTCTCTCTGCTAGCTCCATGGACACGTTTAGACTCATTGTTTTTTTGTTTTGGTTACGTAAAAAAAAAATGAATTTGAAATGTCCATGTTAGCAGATGAGACATGGACCAAACTAACAAGTCAAAGTGCATGTTCTTCTCAAAGATGTTTCTGCCATTTTAGGTCATTCTTATGACACTGATGTTTGTTCAAGTGCTCATGTCGATGACAAGTTTGATTTTGCCTCTTACCTCAGCACAGGAGGTTATGTTTTCACCCCTGTCTCTTTGATTGTAAGCAAAATTATGCACAAACTACTGGACTGATTACCATGAGACTTGGAAGGTGTGGTATGGGTCAGGGATCCTGGTCAGGGTTCCTGATCGGGGGCGGATCCAGAAATATATATTTGTCACTTTCTTTGACATTTTGAGATGGTGGAAGTTTTTTGCAATTGTCAATGTTTTCCCATAGAATAAATCATGGATCTTTATCAACAAAATCCGACATATGTATGGAAGGGATATCTGTGAGTGTGTGATTTGATGCAGCTTGATTGAATTTCTGTGACTGTTGGTCCTTAGCATATGAGCTCTATTGAATCGCATTCTAGTTAGTTATTTGATGATATGAAAACAGGATAAAATGTTATGATTGACAGCTAAGACTCATGATTGGTCGGATGCATTGGACGCCCACCAATACTGCGATGGCAGCTCTCGTATCCAGGATGTTTTGGCTTCACTTCTGGATAGTGTGATGAGGTGGAGAGGTCATTGATCGTCTTGGTTTTCCGTCAGTTATTGTCTTTAAATGCAGTCATCAGTGGAGCCTTACACTAACAGTTTAATATCATCAGCCCAGCAGATGAGTACATGATGCCTCTGTTTAAATGGTAAAATTAGTAAATCCACTTTCTTCCCAGGAGTGAAAGTGAAGAACTTGTGAACTTCAGTGAAGGCTACTTGTGTTTTATGTTAAAAAGAGAAAAGTATGTAATAGGATGAATTGTAGTGTTATAGACTTTAGCTCTGCTGTAGGGTTCCTAATGTACGTAGATTATGGTTCAGTCGCTGTAGATGGGGTCGACTCGTGTAAAGCAGCAGCAGGTTTGGTCTGACTTGGTGAGTTTTCTTTTGCCTTATGTGACTCTATCAAACTACTTACATGTTCATGTATTATACAAAGTGTTCTAATGTGTTGTTTTTACCTTCAGTGCTGCTTGTTCTCAAGAAGCAATTAAACTTGAAATGGAAAAGAAGTCACTCAGTTTACTTGGTTCATAAACGTAAAGAACTGCGATGACACGTGTTGAGGTTAGCAATAGATTCAATTTCATTCACTGGTTCACAAACAGCAGGAAGTCCTGCACAGCACAGCAGCCGTTGTACAAATCACCTTCATTATAATAATGTTTTGTGTATCTGTGAGGTTGAAATCACACAACCTATTCCCTAGAATAAATATATGAAACAGTTGGTTTACAAATATAATGTCATGTTCAATTTCCAAACTAAATATTCTTAAAACCTTTTGAGGAAGTGAGTTAAGAGCAAAATCAGCTCTCACTTGTGCTTCATGTTTTCTATTAGATTCGAGACACAAAAACAAGCAACTGATATTTGAATCTATGTTCAATAAAATCTGATGCTTTTCTCTGTGACTTG